TTGCTTGGAGCACGCTTGCGGCGACTGCCCACACAGCCTTTGTGTACACGCTTTCCAAGCAGTAAAGTTTGTCCAACTCAAACCGTCTTCCCTGACTTTTGATTGGGAATCTTTATCTTGTCGACCACATAACATTCGACAGACACACCCATACACTACGTTCGTGGACTTGAAAAAAAGCCTCCGACATTGCGAATCGTGATAGACCCAGAAAAATCTTAGAAATTGGGCTGTCCTGACAGACTCACGCACATGGTGCGTCAGCTTCACGATAGGATGACGGCGCGCGTCATGGACAATGGAACCGTCTCAGACGCATTTGTAGTGGCCAGCGGACTGAAGGGGGACTGCCTTCTCTCTCCCAACCTCTTCAGCCTCATGTCATCTGCCATGCAGGTAGAAGCCTAATGTGATTAGCGTCCCTGGAGAGACGCCGGCGCATTCAGGCCTGGACGCAACTTCCTCGACGACTTCTGTCCCCCCATTTGCTCTTCGCGGACGACTGCGCGCTCAACATCGCGACNCTTTGATTTGTTCATACATTTGTCCACCAAAGGTGAAATATGTTTTTAGGCAATAGCGTAAGAGCTCCACGAGATGTTCAGTCTTCAGGGGATTGTCTCTCTCGTTGTAGCGGTCAGCCAGGAGTTGTCTCACAACGTCAATCGCTAGTTGTTGTGGAATGGAGGTAAAGAGTGAAACGACATCAAACGATACCATGGATTCATCTGGCTCTAGTTTCAGATGTTTTAAACGTTCAAGGAACTGATTAGCAGAGACGACTGTTGTTGGCGATCCTTCTGCCAGGAACTTAAGACGAGCAAACATCCATTTTGCCAAACCGTATGTAGGAGTACCACGTAGGGAGACGATGGGTCTAAGAGGTATGTTAGCTTTGTGTACCTTCGGAAGACCATAAAACCGCGCGGCGGCAGAGTCAGAGGGTTTCATAAGAAACCAATCTTTAGCTGTGATTGCTCCATTCGCTCTGAGTTTTGCCAGGCTTTTGTTTATTTGAGTAAGCAGATTTTTCATCTCACTGGCTGGACAAAGTTTATAGGACTGTGTGTCGTCGAGTAGGCTCAAAGCTTTCTTCTGGTAATCGGATTTGTCAAGCACTACTGTGGAACGGCCTTTGTCAGCCGGCAGGATGATTATGTCTTTATCCGCTTTTAGGCTTTTTAATGCTTGCTGTTCTTCCTTACTAAGAGTTTCGCTCTTCTTATGTTGCATTAACAAAGAGGAGGTTTTGTGACGGATCAATTCCTTCGTCTCTTCTGACGTTTGTGTTAGCTGAAGAACAGATTCAAAAGCGGCAATGAACTCTGGGGGTGCAGCGTCTGCTGTGTTGAAAGTGGCTCCACGTCCCAGGACTGCAAGTTGTGTGCTGGTGAGGGATTTAGAAGAAAGGTTGTGGACAAGGTCGCCCGACGAGTGATCTGAGCGAACTGGTCTCAGTTTGGCCAATTTTACTGATAATTCTTTGTTCTTTTTGGCTCGTGCCTTTCGAACATGATTGAGAATGGTTTCCTCAATGTCCTTCGATGCTTCACCAGTAGTTGCCGTACTCTGTTCCAAAGAGTTGAAACACACTGCAGCACACCAGCCGACAAAAGAGTTGAACGACAATATCTTCATGATCTCTTTCAAACCAATGGATACCCAAGCCACTTCATCAAGCAAAGCAAGCGCCGAGTGAACAGACGACGGCCACAAGAAGAACAACCCGAAGTCTGGAGGGCTATTCCTTACATTAAAGGAGTCTCCGAAGCGGTTTCAAGACTGCTACAACCCGCCAGGGTAGGTATTGCCCATCGACCCCAGGCAACAATTCGTCGCCGTTTGATGCAACCCAAAGACATACTGCCACCCACTGAAACCTCAGCAGTTGTCTATCAAATACGTTGTAAGGATGGAGACTGCAACTACGTTGGGGAAACCGGGCGAAAATTGCAGACCCGCCTACATGAGCACAAACTGGCAACACGGAGACTAGACCCAAACTCACAGCTTGCGGCTCACATCGGAGAAACTGGTCACAGTTTTGATTTTCAAGGAGCGGCCGTCATAGGCAGGGGCACCTCAAGGACTGAGCGTCTCACTCTTGAGGCTTGGTACTCAGATGCCAACTCCATCAACAGGCATCTAGACCTTCCTTCGGCCTATAAAGTCCTACGTCACTCCATACACCGTGACGAAGACAAGACAATCACACGGAGCCTAAGAATGCCGAGCAAACACGGCCTGTCGACCACTTCACCCAAAGGGGGAAAGCAAACGCAACCAACCCCAATTGAGGTGACGACACGTATTACAGGAGGCCACAAACATTCACAGGCGACGGCCAGTAGGTCGAGGCAGAGAAGGAAGAAAAAAATCGATCAGCCCAGGGCCAACTAATGCGGCAGTCTATTCAAAAATGCTGATCGATTTCTTCACTTGACGCTTTGACAATGGAGAGCAGCCCCAGCTCTTCGAAACGTCAGCCTGAAAAGTCCCCCGATCCGGTGAGCAATTCATTCTCCTCAAACGCTACTACGCGTGCGCGCACGCACCGTATCGATTTTGTTCGAGGCCGAAGGCGTTGGCGTGCTGCGCGGGCGCCCGATAAAGAGGCTTGACAGGGCAGCAGGCGGCGGAGTGCGTCGGACCTCTAACACCATGAGCGCATCTGAAAGGGGACCGTTTGTCAGGCTGCTTTAATTCTCCTGCATTCAGGTACATAACCAGTGTCCTAATACGGAACGGTGCACGTCCAACGGGAGGATGCAGACCCCGAGACCTCCGCACCCGTGAACAGTTCTACCATTGTTCTATTTTTTATTGAATTCTTTAAATCTCTATTAACATGGATAAAATAAAAGGAGATTTGTACGTTGGACAGCCTGAATGACGACGACCTAAAGGCATGTGTCTGGCAAATGTTGTAAGTCAGGGAAGACACTGCTCTAATGCAGACTGCGCTTCAGGGCCAGGTCACTGAATGCTCTGCGTTATATTGGAGGACAGCGATATTAGCACCCTTATGTCGCCATGGTCAAGGCCTGTTATCGCTCCACCACTGCGCGAGTCCTGGTCCACAACAATCTTTCCCAACCGTTTAGTAATCAGTTTGACGTTCGGCGGGGTTGCATTCTCAGTCAGTCAGTCAGTGTATTTGAGGGAAATAGGTTTACTCCTTTGAACTCCCTATTTGTACATTAAAGATCGACAAACTAGCAGAATGTGAAGAAATTACGGCATTAAGTGAATGCAGACATTGATTCACATATGTCACTGGTCTCATGGCTAAAAAGTCACATGGTCCGCTTGTTGCTGTAGCATATGTCTGTCAAGCCTACATTTAAATGTCGCCACAGATTGAGACATGACAACCGTCTCGGGCAGATTATTCCACGGTTCCACGACACGGTTGGAGAAGAAACATTCAATCTACCCTGGGGCACAAGTAGCTTGAAAGGATGTCCCCGGAGGTTAGTTGTTGTGGCGAGTTGGAAAAAGTCCTCGCACCGGAGGCCGCAGTTCAAGCCACGCACTATACGGAAAGTTTGTATCACGTCTCCGCGCAACTGCCTATAACTCAGAGGACAGCGATTAAGGTTAGTTAAGCGGATCTCGTATGGCAGTGCACTTTGACCTCTTACCCATCCTGTTAAACTATGCTATCGACTGGATTCTCGGGAGAGCCCTACACGAAGGTGACGGTGTTGAATTTGCACCCGGACACCAACTGGCTGATCTCGACTATGCCGATGATATCGCCTTACTTGCTTTGAGTTTCGGGATCTGTAGTCTATAGTGTCAGGTGTGAACGAGGTCGCTCAATCGGTCGGTTTATCCATAAACGCTGGAAAAACTAGAGTATTTTCAAGCTGCATCTCTGACCAAGAGAGGACACCTCTCGGGATTCATAGCTGCTAACTTGAAGAAGTAGACAGTTTTAAATACCTCGTGGTGAGGCTGATGACGAATGGCCAGAGTAAGGGTGACATTGTCTCCCGAATTGGTGCTGTCCGACGGGTTTTCGCCAGCCTTAGAAAATGCCTATGGATCCGACGCGACCTGTCCATCGTCACTAAGATACTCGTGTACCGTGCATCTGTCCGGTCCGTCCTTCTCCGTGTTTGTGAATACTAGGCTGTGAGCGTGGAGGACGAGCGAAAACTGGAGGTATTTGACCACCACTGCATGAGGACCATCCTTCGAGTGAAGCACGCCGACTTCGTCTCAAGTGAGACCGCCCGCACTCGCTGCGACAACGTGACAAGGATAATCCAGGCTATCCAAGAAAGGCGATTGAGGTGGTTTGGACATATTCTTCGTCGTCCACCTCAGGAGTTCAGTTACTGACCTCGATCCGGCACCGTTACCTAATTCGAGGCGTCGAAGAAGGGGTTAACTCAAAATCTGGCTCGACACAGTTCTTCAAGACATGGAGGTGATTCTTGGGCCTTCGGTATTCGGTCTCCGTCGTTTGCGAAGAGAATGGATTGAACTGTCCAGATGTGCTGACGCTGATCGTCACGCGTGGAGAGGTACAGATCGGGACATCATCGAAACCGACTAGATCAGGCATAATCGCAGCCGTACCAACCGAATCTTATGACCAAATCTGGTTTGCATCTGTCTTGCGGATCTTATCACTCAAAGCATGGTAGGTAACTGAGACGTCACGTTGGCTTTAATGGCAACAGTGGGGCTGTGGGTTATAAACTGTCAGGCATCGCACTTGCACTCAAAATCCCTCTTACGTCTACTTGTGGAGTTTGTGGCTGATTTGTCGTTGCATCTGCGCACTGTCTTAGAATACAAGACAACATATCCCATAATCGCAATGGACAACGGCTAAATATCTACACCTTGGTTTGCGTCTACATCTGACGCTAGCGATCAGGAGCAACACAGCGACTTTCAGATAGGCAAAGTTGAGAGATCCGGGAAGATTATTTGAAGAAGAAAATAGGCTCTCCGGAACAAGTTTATTTAACTGCTGACGTTTTAAAGAGCTGGGTCGGCTCTTCATTGTCAAGGCGTAAAGGCACTTACTCGATCAGAAGTTTAAGTTCAAGTGGCATCTTGTGTTGGTCGGCCTTACGCTGATCGATTTTTCTCTCCTCTCGCTGTCCCGGCCTCTCGGGAGATGGTGGACGGACGTTTTGCCTGCGTGGTTTGTGAGTCACCACTCCGTCGAAGGGAGCTGGGTGAACCTCTGTCGGGCGGTCGGTCTGGCGGTTCTTGTTCTTCCTCACCGAGTAAACTCAGCGTCAGGCTATCTCCGTAGGGCGACTGTCGACAAATCGCATTGTCACGTTAACAATGTGTAGGTGAGCAGGTCGCATCTTGCCTCTGGCGTCCTTGATGATGAAGGCGTTCAAGAAAAAGCCGTCCAGTGACATTGTCCAAGTTACTATCACTGGAACCCTGGAAAATGCCTGTAGCGTTAGGTTTTAGTAAAAATATTTCAATCAAAAATAAGTCGCAGGATCAGGACTTGTCATTGATATACTCGGGTTAGCAGTGTACAACATGACAGTAGGGACCACGAAGGTAGCATGTACACCTGCCCACTGACACGTCTAAATAGTCAATTTTAAATACAGCATGCAGCGACACATGGTCATTCAGCCGCCGGGAACCGGCAAAGATGAAGATGGCAGTAAAATGATAGCTTTGGAGAAGGAAATGGTCCAGCTAAAGTGTCAGTTTGCGCACCTCACCAGCCACTGGTCATCCGGCCATCCGTTCTTGCTCCCGCTCTTAAGCATTTGACAAATGTTGCTACCCTACGCAGGTAAATGTCAAGGTCTGGGATGTAGGGGTGTTCGTTCATGGGGTACCCGTGCGTGGGTGCTAAGTGGCTCCGAGCAAATGGTACCTTCTCCTCACGGTCTCCTTAACCGGAACCCAACCCTCACATGTTGCTTCCTGAGCCTAGCCTCTGCCCAGCGTCCACATCCTGGTAAACGCGTCGACTAACAGGCTAAACCTGGTGCTGGGCATGTCCCCACACGCTAGCTGTGTTCCTATTCTCACCCACCCCCACCCCCTCCATCCCTTACCTACCCCCTTCCACTCTACAAGTTCTATGGAGAGGACGACATGCAAGCCTGAACCAAACCGGCAGTCGTCTGGGATGTCTAAGCTGCACGTTTTAGAAATAACAATGGCTTCCCGGTCGCGGGGATGGCGCCAGAAACGGGGCCTTACAAAAGCCCGGAAATCACTCTACCTGCAGGTTTACCACGGCTCGCAGACGCAAGACTCGCGGTCGATTAAACCAAATGAACAAAAACAAAACCCGTTCCTCCACCCGCTGTCCATTTCCACAGGCTGCTAGGTTGATTCCGTTCACTCTAGCAGCTTGGAAATTCCCTTCCACTATGCACAATCTGAGAAGCAACCGGCCGGAATGGAGGACAACGCTATTTACTCAAGAACTGTCGCGCTAATATGTGCACATCTCTGCTCTCAGTGAGTCCCGATTCTCCGAACAAGCCTGTCTAAAGGAGATGAGCCTCAACTACAGCTTCTTTTGGAACGGCCGCTCAAAGACAGAGCGATGCGACACTGAAGGTCTCTTTCACATCCGGAATGGCATCGTAGGATGACTGCCCTGTCTACCACACGGCATCAACGGC